GAGGTTGCAGACAGGAAGGGTTGGCTTAGGATAAACATTTCTTGCATCTTGAAGGAATGACCAACCGGACGTGGTGTCTCCCTGGATGATTGATAAACACAGGAGTGAGTCAGTAAGTTTCAGAAGAACATATTTTTAGATTATAGTTTGCAATAAACCTTGGGCTTCAGAGACATTAAGCAAAAGAGATACAGGGAGTTGCCACTGAACTTAGAATAGTCACTATGCAGCAGCAACGAAGATGAGATGTGGCCATCGTCTGGGCTGCTAGTTCCTGTTTCTATGACCTGGACTAACACTCTGACATTTGTGAACTTCACTGTTTAGTTTTTTATTCATTGCTTCCTTCCTTTTCAAAATGCTTATTGGTGCCGAGTGACTCATCCAACAAAGTCCAAACTCTGAAATATTAATAGGTGGAGAGAGGAAAGATGCCAAGGGAGTGAGTCTGGCACTATACGTATCAGCATACAGCCTGTGGTTTTGGATCTTGGAGTACCTATCTGGTACCTGTACCTGGCACACTGTGAGTTCCTGGACATCAAGGGCTGGTGGATTATTCACCTGTGCATCTCTAGCATCCCCCAGTCCAGTGCTAAGCATTTAGGGTTCGTTGAATGCAGAGTTTCCTGGATTTGAATCGCTGAGTGAGCCAAGTGTGGTAGCTCATGCCTGTAATCCTAGCACTTTGGGAGGCTCAGGCAGGAGGATCACTTGAGCCCAGGAGTTTGAGAGCAGACTGGGCAACATGGCAAGACTCTGTCTCCACCAAAAATTAAAAATTAAAAAAAAAATTAGCCAGGTAGGGTAGTGTGTACCTGCAGTCCCAACTACTTGGGAGGCTAAGGTGGGGAGATCACTTGAGGCCAGGAGTTTGAGGCTACAGTGATAGCATTACTGCACTCCAGCCTGGGAAACAGCCAACCCCTGTCTCAAACAAACAAGAAATCAAAAAAAGAAAACTCACTGAGTGAGTGAATTCATTTAAAATTAGAAGGTTATCAGCACAGGCAGGTCAAGCTGCCCAGTAGGTTGTGTTCAGACCTTCTTGGTCCACCTTTGGGCCTCGGATGGCTTTTCCTCTTGAAGTAAGGTGAGACACGGTGGGTGGGTCCCAGCAGCACCAGAGCCTCCTGCTGCAGGCCTCCCTGGGTGAGGTCATTGAGGATGAGGCTGAGGATTCTGGCTTAGGGCTGGTGAAAACCCTTGTTCTCACCCCCTGTGGGCTCTCAAAGCTTCTCTTCCTTTCTTCCTAGTCTCTCAGGTTCTGGCTGTTCCTCTCTCCTCTTCTGTCCCAGCTACCATCCTTATCTCAATTGGTATTTCTTCCTTCTAAAGTCCCTGGGGTGACATGGTAAAGCTTCCTTCCCCACTCCACCACCTCCTGCACCCACTCCTCTCCCAGTCAGCAATTATGCCATTTGCAATTTCTGTGAGTTTTTGCTGCTAGTGACAAAGGAGAGGCAGGGAGTTAAAATTAGCAAATTAGGGAAATGTTCCAGTTACAAGACATTGATTTTTTTTTTTAACCCCTATTTTGGCACTTCTTCTCTTTTACTTTCTAAATGTTTCTTTTCTTTTTCCAGCTTTATGGAGGTATGGTTGACAAATAAAAATTGTATATATTTGATATGATGTTTTACTATATGTAAACATTTGCAGTGATTACTGCAATCCAGCTAATTCACATGTTCTTCACCTCCCATAGTTACCTTTTTGTGTGTGTGGTGAGAGTGTTTAAGATCTACTCTCTTAGCAATTCTCAAGTATACAATGCATTATTATTAACTGTAGTCACCATTCTGCATCATAGATCTCCAGAACTTATTTATTCTCTCTGACTGAAACTTTGTACCCTTTAACCATCCCCCTTTCTCCACCCCACCCCCACCAGCAATGGCAACTACCGTTTTACTCTCTGTTTCTCTGAGTTCAGCTTTTTTCAACTCCACATATAAATGACATAATGCAGTATATCTTTCTGTGCCTGACTTAATAGTCTTCTCCAGGTTCATCCTGGAATGATTTTCTCCATTTTTTTAAGGCTGAATAGTTTCCATTGTATGTATATACCACTTTTTTAAAAATCGCATTTTCTTCATCTGTCTGTTGAATGCATATCTTGGCTGTTATGAATAGTGCTGCAAGGAACATGGGGGTGCAGGTATGTCTTTGACACACTGATTTCATTTTCTTTGGCTGTATACCCAGAAGTGGAATTGCTGAAACACACAGTAGTTCTAGTTTAAGGAATCTCAATACCATTTTCCCTAATAGCTGTACTAATTTACATTCCCACTAACAGTGTACAGAGTTTCCTGGTTCCCTTTTATCCACATTCTTGCTAGCACTGGCAATCTTTTGTCTTTTTGTTTTTTTGGAGAAAAAGAAAAGAATCTTGCTCTGTCGCCCAGGCTGGAGGGCAGTGGTGCCATCTTGGCTCACTACAACCTCCGCCTCCCGGGTTCAGGTGATTGTCCTGCCTCAGCCTCTGGAGTATCTGGAATTACAGGCATGTACCACGATGCCTGCCTATTTTTAAATTTTATTTTATTTTATTTTTTAGTAGAGATGGGGTTTCACCATGTTAGCCAGGCTGGTCTCGAACTCCTGACCTCATGTGGTCTACCCACCTCAGTGTCCCAAAGTGCTGGGATTACAGGTGTGAGCCACTCTGCCTGGCCTGTCTTTTTGATAACAGCCATTGTAACAGGTATGAAATGATAGCTTGTTGTCATTTTAACTTGCATTTCCCTGATGATTAGTGATGTGGGACATTTTTTCATATATGTGTTAGCTATTTGTATGTCTTCTTTTGGAAAATGTCTATTAGGTCCGTTGCTCATTTTTCTTTTCTTTTCTTTTTTTTTTTTTTTGAGACAGAGTCTCATTCTGCCACCCAGGCTGAAGTTCAGTGGCGCTCTCTTGGCTCACTGCAGCCTCTGCCTCTTGGGTTCAAGTGATTCTTGTGCCTCAGCCTCTCGAGTAGCTGGGATTACAAGGGTGCCCCACCATACCCAGCTAATTTTTGTATTTTTAGTAGAGACAGGGTTTGACCATGTTGCCCAGGCTGGTCTCAAACCCCTGACCTCAGGTGATCTACACATATCAGTCTCCTAAAGTGCTGGGATTATAGGCGTGAGCCACCATGCCTGGACTGTTGCTCATTTTTCTGATTGGGTTATTTGTTTCCTTAACATTGAGTTGTTTGAATTCTTTTTTTTTTTTTTTTTTAAGACGGGGTTTCACCATGTTGGTCAGTCTGGTCTTGAACTCCCGACCTCAGGTGATCTACCCACATTGGCCTCCAAAGTGCTTGGATTACAGGCGTGAGCCACCACACCTGGCCTGATTGTTTGAATTCTTCATGTATTTGGATATTAACCACTTATCAGATGTATGGTTTGCAAATATTCTCTTGCATATAGTAGGTTGTTTCTTCACTCTGTTCTTTGCTGTGCAGAAGCTTTTTAGTTTGATAGAATTCCATTTGCCTATTTTCATTTTTGTTGCCTGTGCTTCTAGGATAATATTCAAAAATCATTGCCTAGTCCAATGTCAGGAAGGCTTTCTCATATGTTTTCTCTTGGCAGTTTTACATTTCAGGTGTTACATTTAAGGTTTTAATCCATATTGAGTTGATTTTTAAAATACAGTGTGAGATAAGGGTCCAGTTTCATTCTCTGTATGTAGATATCTGGTTGCCCCAAAACCATTTATTGAAGGGACTGGCCTTTCCACATTGTGTTTTCTTGACCACTTTGTTGAAGATCAGTTCACTGTAAATGCCTGGATTTATTTCTGGGTGCTTTATTCTGTTCCATTGGTCTATATGTTTGTTTTTATGCCAGTTCCATGCTGTTTTAATTATAGTTGCTTTGTAGTATATTTCAAAATCAGGTAATACAATACCTCCACCTTTGTTCTTGCTTACAGTTGCTTTGGCTATTCAGGTTTCATACAAACTTTTGTGCTTTTATATAAATTTTAGGATTGCTTTTTCTTTTTCTGTGAAAAACACCATTGGAATTTTGATAAAGAGTGAATTAAATTTTTACACTGGATAGCATGGACATTTTAACAATATTCTTCCAAACCATGAGCACAGGATGTCTTTCCATTTTGGGGTGGTTCTTCAGTTTCTTTTCTTTTTCTTTTTTTTTTTTGATCTTTTGGGACTGGGTCTCCCTCTGTTGCCCAGGTTGGAGTGCAGTGGTATGATCATGGCTCACTGCAACCTTGACCTCCTGGGCTCAAGTGATCCTCTTGCCTTAGCTTCTGGAGTAGCTGTAACTACAAGTGCATACTACTACACCTAGTGAAATTTTGTCTTTCTTAGAGACAGGGCCCCTATCTTGCCTAGGCTGCTTTCAGACTCCTAGGCTCAAGCAATCCTCCTGCTTTTGCCTCCAAAATGTTGGGATTATTATAGGCATGACAACATGCCCAGCCTTGGGTTTTTCTTATTTGACCTATTACTAGATATGTTGAATCAAAGGATTTCCTCTATCTTAATTCAACATTGTATTCCTGGGATACATGGCTTCTTTCAGGGCACTGTAAATTTTGACATGAGAGTGAGTATTTGATTTAGGATTTTCTTTTTTTAAAAAATGCCTGAATAAAACCAATCTGTTCCTTTTTCTTTTCTTTTTTGTACTATTTTTGTCATTTTGGACAGACTAAATGTAAAGTGGCCTTGTTCTCTCTCAGCGAAAGAGGATTTTCTGAGTCATAGGGGAAATGAAAATCTAAGTGGGCCCAGCAGAAGAAACGGAAGTTCCTAACACAAATGTGCATGCTTGGTGAATGCTTCAAAAACTCAACGTGCAGCCTCAGCAAATGAGCCTTAACCTGCAATTAGCATTGGGACCTGCACCCTTCAGACTCTGAGAGGTCTGCTGTTAAAGAAGGACGTGATTCCCCCCACTTATTCCAAGGCCTGATCCATGAAATTTATAGCCATGAACTAATTGGTGCATCTTTATCTTGCTTTAAAGGTCTCAACATATGTGCTAGTGGAAGTGCCACCTCATGTGAAGAATGTCTGCTAATCCACCCAAAATGTGCCTGGTGCTCCAAAGAGGTATGTGGGTGGGGGAGGGGAGGACAAAGAAAAGAAATGTTGCGAGGGGGCAACAAGACAGCATACCAATTCGCTGTACATAAAAACCCTATGCAGATTCTGTAAGCTGCCTCTTCCCCATCAAGCCAGAGCAATGACAAATCCAGGTTTATGAAACAATAAGTTAAACTGGGTTTCTTAATAGTGTGGAATGTTAATTCTATTTTGGGGAAACAAGACTTTCCTTCTCTTTTGTTTAGAAACCAGTTAGGATTCTTCTGTAGTATTCCGATCTCTGGTATAAGAACTCCAAAAGACCTGAGCTTGCGAACTGAGTTTGTTGCATAATGATTCAAAACCTATCTAAATGGGTGGCATGTTGGTGGAGGCCAGTCATCTCAGTGGGCTTACTTGAGAATAAACATTAGGAATTAGCCTTTATGTAATGATTTTATTTAAAGATAATGGCTTCCATTTCTTTAAGCCTTGTAGGAAGAGATATAGGTTTGGGACAATGTTAGGTTATTGGTATTGTTAAGCAATGTGGGCTGGGTATGGTGGCTCACACCAGCACTGTGTCAGGGCAAGGCAGGAGGATTGCTTGAAGCTTGAGCTCAGGAGTCTGAGACCAACATGGGCAATATTGCAAGACCCTATCTCTACTAAATAAATCAGGAAAGAAAGAAAGAGAGAGGGAAGGAGGGAAGGAAATGTAACGTGGTGGGCTAATCAGAAAATGATCAATTTCTAAATTTCCTGTCTTGAGGGAAATTTCTGGGTCACAAACCCTCCCTGTATAAATGCCCCATTAAGGTTATTTGTTAAAGAACCCATGACTTGCTGTTTAGGACTGGCTCAGTCTGCAACTCAGTGTGTGGTTCCTGTCAGGAGGACAAAGAGATGGCTCTCAGGAGACTGGGGTTATTCTCCAGCATAGGAGCCTCAGAGGTCTAGGGATTCCTTTAATTTATGTGGCTAAAAATGATCATGTGGGGACTCTACTAGATGTCATACGCTTGTACATCATACAGTATCTCTGATTCTCACAACAGCTCTGTCAGGTGGGTGTAAGACACTTGTTTCATTGATGAAAATCTGAGGCTCAGAGCAGTAAAGTGATTCACTCAAGGTCACACAAGTGTGCTAAAGCTGGAGTTTTAATCTGACTTCTGAGCCCAAGCGTTTCCCTCCAGACTACATGGCCTCTTGCTTGCTATGTGAACTCTCTAAAACATCAATTTTAAAACTTTGAGGGTTCTCAGTTTACTTTGAGAGAGGAATCTTTCCAACATAGAAACCTTTAATTGCATTTGTGATTAGTTGTACCGTCTTTGTTATGACTCTTTTTAATCTTCCTTTCGTCCTGTGTGACCTGCAGGGCAGATCCAAGCTCTGTGGCTCCTGCCTTCCTCCTACTGTCATCTCTTGCCTGACGGATATTTAGCCAGAGGGAACCACCTGTAGATCCCCAGAGAGCCCAGCTTGATAAACCCCTGCTTGATCTTCCCGGTGTTGCTCCTTCTCCCTGGAGAGCCTTCCTGGCTTTTTCTTTTTCTGTCTATCTTTTATTCATTCATTCATTCATTTAGAGACATGATCTTTCTTGATGTGTCACCCAGGCTGGAATACAGTAGTACAGTTGTAGCTCACTACAGCTTCCACATCCTGGGCTTAAGCAATCCTCCTACCTCAGCCACCAGGTAGCTGGGACTACAGGTATGTGTCACTATGCTTGGCTAATTAAACATTTTTTTTTAGAGATGAGATCTTTATGTATTCCAGTCTTGTCTGGAACTCCTGGCCTCAAGGAATCCTCTTGCCTTGGCCTCCCAAAGTGCCAGGATTACAGGTGTGAGCCACCATGCCCGGCCCTCCTTTCCTTGACTGATACCTTTTTATTGTTTTTAAGATTCATTTCAGGCCCATTGTGCAGTGGCACACAACTGTAATCCCAGCACTTTGGGAAGCCAAGGCAAGTGGATCGCTTGAGCTCAGAAGTTCAAGACCAGCCTGGGCAACATGATGAAACTCCATCTCTACAAAAAAAAAAAAAAAAATTAGCTGGATATGCTAGTACATGCCTGTAGTCCCAGCTACCTGGGGGGCTAAGGTGGGAGGACTGCTTGAGCCCAAGGGGAGGAGCTGTAGTGAGCCAAGATCGAGCCACTGCACTCCAGCCTGAGCAACAAAGCAAGACCCTGTCTCAAAAAAGAAAAAAAAATCAGTTTAACTTCATCTACTTCATAAAGACCTGTGTATCTGACTGTCTCCATCTGTCCATCCATCCATGCATCCATTTATCTTTATATCTATTTGATATGAGAATGTAAGCTCCCTCCACTGGAGCGTTAGGGGCAGGGGACTGTCTGTTTTCCTCATTGCTGTATTCCTGAATGGTGCTTAGCACATAGAAGTTGCTCAAAGGATTTTACTGGGTGGCTATTTATTGTATGTCTGCTAGGTACAGGCCATGACCACCTCTTTGTTCCCCTGTACTCTGCTTTTTTCGCACTCATAACCTCTTTCTGTTTAATTTGTTTTCACGCCTGTTACCCACTAAATCATCATCTCCTTGAGAAACTAAAGTGTCTTATTCGTTTTGGATGCTCAGTATCCAGCCAAGAATCTGGCAGGAATTTGTATTTGATAAAAGAGTACTGTTAAAAAGACATGGATTTAGAAAACCAAAGTTTCAGTCAGCTTTGCCATGATTTACTCTTAATTTCTTGATATGTAAAATGAAAATGACAGTTCCAAACCTCCAGCGTGACTGGGAGCGTAAAATGAGATGCATGAGAGGACTTATGGATGGGGCTGATTAGCTGGGCCTCCTGAATGGCTGCCACTGTCATCCATGAGTATTTTCTAGTGAGATGTGGCTAGAAAATCCAGAAGCCTGGATCCATTTTTACTTTAAGTAGCTTCCTTCCTTGTGCTAGTACTTCCACAAGTCAGACTTCCTGATGCTGACAGTAAATGAACGTGTCTCTAGGAGCTTGTTATCACCCCAGCCCACACCTGGGCTCCCTGTCCAGCCCACTGGGCTTCCTCTCTGCTCATCAGGAGCCTCATTCTTAGCCAGAGAAATTCCTATGATCCCTGCCGTGGAACGCAGCTTCCCATCTTCTTTGGGGGTGACCTTTCCCCAGAGCATGTTTTAGAGAGCCAGGTTAGGAGAGTTCAGGAATGGTTATTCATTATTCATTTCTTTATTTGAGGCAGTGTCTCACTCTCAGTGTCCAGGCTGGAATGCAGTGGTACAATCATGGCTCACTGCAGCCTCAACCTCCCAGGCCAGGTGATTCTTTTACCCAGCTTCTTGAGTAGCTGGGCTTACAGGTGTGTGCCACCACACCTGGCTAATTTTTGTGTTTTTAGTAGAGATGAGGTTTCACCATGTTGCCCAGGCTGGTCTTGAACTCCTAGGCTCAAGTGATCTGCCTGCCTCTGCCTCCCAAAGTTCTGGGATTATAGGCGTGAGCCACCATACCTAGCCATGAATGGTTTTGATCAACCCAGCCCCTTAGCAAGACAGAATAAGTGTGGCTGGGTGCCTTCTCAACTGTATATCCCGGGACATCATCAAAGAAGTAATGAGCATATGGTGTGTGTGTATAGTGAGTGTTGCTGCCCAGGAGACAGCCAGTGAGGGCCAGGTTGCCAACTATGAGGATGAATCCCGTGGCACATTCCATGGGGATTCCCCTGCTCTAGATCCCATTTCCCCCCTATTTTACTTGAGGTGGAAATGGGGACTCCTTATCCTTGCATTTCACATCCCTTGTAACCTAATTCCACGGCTCCTGGCTCCGTCTCCTCCCACAGATACCATGTGTGAGTTCACCCGTGTGCTTCCCCACAACCCCCTGCATGGTGCTCTCGCTGGTTCTCTCTCAGTTGGCTCTGTGCCACATCAGCCCTAACTCTCTTGGTTTTGTTTTCTTTTTTTTTTTTTCATTTTTAATTATTTAGTTTATTTATTTTCGACAGGGTCTTACTCTCTTGCCCAGGCTACAGTGCGGTGGTGTGATCATAGTTCACTGCAGCCTCAATCTCTCAGACTCAAGTGATCCTCTCACCTTAGCCTCCCAAGTAGCTGCAACTACAGGCCTATCCCCCAACACTCAGACAGTTTTTAAATTTTTTTAATTTTAATTTTTGGTAGAGAACAGGTCTCACTATGTTGCCCAGGCTGGTCTTGAACTCCTGGGCTCAAGTGATCCTCTCTCCTCAGCTTCCCAATGTGCTGGGATTGCAGACAGTGAGCCACTGCGCCTGGCCTCTTGCCTTTGTTTTCTCACCATGGTTTACCTGACTTACTTTCTGATTTTATGTCCAGAGTTTCAGACTTACTTTCTGCCTTTATGTCCAGAGTTGCCAGACTCTCCACTACTCTGAGACCAGGATGTGTGGTCCTCTGCTTGTCCTGGCCTGTCCACACCACCCCTGCTTCTCTGCAACATACTCCCTGCCTTGTTCTAGACAGCCTTGGCCATTTGTTTCTCAGCTAACTTCTCAGCCACTTGTGGTGCTGTTTGTACAGCACAGCTTAAGATGCATATATTAGTCCATTCTCACATTGCTATAAGGAAATACCCAAGACTGGGTAATTTATAAAGGAAAGAGGTTTAATTGACTCACAGTTCAACATGGCTGGGGAGGCCTCAGGAAACTTACAACCATGGTGGAAGAGAAGACATGACAACTTCACAAGGTGTCAGGAAGGGGAAGTGCCAAGTAAACGGGGAAGAGCCCCTTATAAAACTATCAGATTTCATGAGAACTCATTCACCATCAAGAGAATAGCATGGGGGAAACCACCCCCATGATTCAGTTACCTCCACTTGGCCTCTCCCTTGACATGTGAGGATTATGGGGATTATAAGGATTACAGTTCAGATGAGGTTTGGGTGGGACACAAAGCCTAACCATATCAACATACACAAACCCCAGCAGTTTATGATCTATTTTATCCATCATTTTTTAAAATGGACATTTTGTCTTCACCCTAAGATTGTAAA